TGACGTTTAAAGAATGTAAACGTTTAATACAATTTTAAAAAGTTATCCTCTATATGTGTTTTCATTTAATGTCGCGGTGGTAACGACACGCTGTATATATGTATATATATAAATTAATCCCTATTTCCCTTGGTCACGCCATCACGCGTGAACGGTTGGACCGATTTCACTTTTTGTTGTGTTTGTTATTATCAGGAGAAGGTTCTTATGAAAGAAAAAATTAAAAAAAATGCCTGTAAAAGTCTAACAACACTTTAAACTTAACTTTTCTATATTCCTGTGCAAAATATTCGTAATAATACTTAAAAGTCAATTTGAACTTTAATACGATACCATAAAGTTTAAGTGTTAGTGTAGGGGTTCCGGGAAGGCAAAACAAATGAGTGACTGTGGTAAAATGTCACTTGAAATGTAAACGTCTCTTTGCTGTGCATCACTACATAGTAAAAAACAAAGCCGTCCCGCTGATTGTGTGTCCCTATGTATGCTCTCTTTGTCTGTATCTTTTAAACTACACAACGAATCTTGATACGGTTTTTTTAACTAGATAGAGTGATTCAAGAGGAAGGTTCATATGTATAATACATTGCACCCGTGCGAAGCCGGGGAGGGTCACTTGTATTTTATATATACACTATTTTTAAACCTGATAATCAAAACCTTTTAAGTGCGAATGCGCACATAAAGAATAAGGTGTAGACCCAAAAACACAATCAAATCAAAACCTGAATATTAAGAATTTATTTACGTTGATTGGACTATTAAAAGACGAAAGAAGTTTATAATAAGAAAAAATAAAGAAATGGAATTTATTATAAGGAAAAAAAACCGACAAGAGACGTTGGTAGTAAAAATAATTATAAAAAAACTTAGAGCAGTTTTGATTTACAATTTAAAGCACTCGTTATCACCATGCCATCAATTACTGTGTTTTTAGAATATCGTATTATGTATAACTTCCAAGAAGTCGAAAGGATTTTCTTAGATCTTTTTTCTTAAAAGAAGCGAAATTATGTTTGAGTGCAATTGCGCTTTAACATAATTTCACCACTTTTTTCCCTTTCAATTTTCAAACGCTCACTAATTACTAACTAAGTGGCTCGCGCTTTGTTACGTTACTCTTTTATTTCGAAAAAAAAAAAAAAATTCATTAACTCTTACTCGCGTCCGCGAAATTAACTTTCGCCGTAAAACTTTTGAAATCGCCCGCCGGATCGTCGCTGAGAATACTGATATGGAGTTTGACGGTCTGCTTCTAAACGGAAGGCCGGGCACGCGTGCACCGAATAGTTAAAGCATTGTCCGTTTTGCGGACGCGTTTTGGGTGAAAGTGTTTCCATTTCACACAAAACCCGCGCCCATTACGGCGAACGGCCATAGCACAGACCGTTGGCACAAAAACGGTCGTTGCGCCGATCGTTATCGATGTAATAGTGACGTCATAGTTTTCAACCGCCAAAAAAGAGGAGGTTGTCAATTCGAAATAAATGCTTATTTTGTGTGTTACCTCAGAATTCCGTCGTCTAGGAATAGATATCAAAATCTTTTTGCTTTGGGTTCCGTTAACCCCCCGTATTAATTTCTGTTTAGTAAGATGGAACATTAAAATTTGTAGGAAAATTTGACAAAGTTTTTCGCCGCCGAGAGAATAGACAATTAACGACTATAGTAAACAACGGCTGATTGTCCCGCTGACGAAAATATCAGTGTTTATTATCTACATTGTTTGTTCAGGATTGCTTGGCACATCTATTATTATATCGCCCAAAAAAAAAAACAAAATTGAGTTATAACTTTTTGCTACAATAAATAATTCATGAGTTCAAGCAAAGTGTTTTCTTACACGTACTTGCTCATCCTCATAGCAAGGGTAAGGAAAATACGTTAGACGCAAAATTAAACTTCTATAAATAGTTTATAAGAATTGAAATAATCTTCTACAAATAGTTCATAAGAATTTGTCTATTTCATTTAACTCTATCACTGTTAAGTCAAACGACAGCTTAACTATATTCATATTGAATTTATGTAACTGAAATTATTTTGAAGACAAAATAGAAAACAAGTACGCGATTCACCTGATGTGATAACTGCCGCCCAAAGGCATTCAATGTTCCAGCGATTTTCAGCCATACTGTCAAAAAAAGCTTAAGAGGGCTACCCTCTGGTTACCTAATTTAGCTAACCAACAAAACACAGAAGCCAAAATATCTCTAATTTATGGGTCAGCATCTCTAAGTAAAGTCAGCTTTATAACGCAGCAAAGCTGAATACCACCGCAAATAATATGGTACTATTGTTCAAAATAGCAATATAAATGTATAAATATAGTGCTATTATTACTAAATCGTACAAAATCAGCTCAGGATCGTACTTCGTGGCAGTCTATGGGGGAGGCCTATGTTCAGCATTGAACTCGAACAGGCTGAAATGATGATAATGATGATGATTTTTTAAAATATCCATATTAATATATATATGTATATATAGTACCTGGAGCACCGAGCTTTGCTCGGTTTTTTTATTTTTGGTGAATCGTACATTTTAGAAATTTTACATTTAGACACAAATTTTAAATTACATTTAGATACAAATTATTGAGTAATGAAATATGCATAATATTTTTCGATCTTATCGACGTAATAATAAGAAAATATGAACTGGTGTTTTGATAAAAAATAAAGAAACCAATGATCTGTGTGATACAAAACGCGGCCGTCTGTTTTGGGGCTGCCCGATTACCTACCGAGCTATTATAACATTTTTGAAACCTGGCTAATTCGATTTTTCGCCCCCGAATCTACGCACATACTAAATTTCATGAAAATCGATGGAGCCGTTACAGAGATTTCGATTATATATATATATATATATATATATACAAGAATTGCTCGTTTAAAGGATAAGATATAAATCTCTTATATACAGCCCAGCTTCGTCTCTACGTAGAGTCAGCTCCTATATAACGCTAAGTCTTAATTTAAAGTAGTATTTTTTGGCGATGTTCAGTTAGCAATGGTATTAATAATATTCACTCTTGGCAGCATATTTGGGGCTTAATAAGTTTAATGTAAAACGGTATCTTTGTCCATTCCATGATTTCACTGGATGAGCTTACATTATTTTAACATCCACCTAATTATTTTTGAATAGTAGCGCCTGTAACTTTTAAATAGCAGTTATTTAGAATCAGGTTTTTAAACTAGTCATTGCACATCAGTGTTACAAGATCTAATTTAAATTCACTTTGCTTTTGAAATTTCAGGGCAAATCGTTAAGTTCGAGAGAGTTCTTGTTTATGTTATTAAAACGTAAAATATAGTACCCGCATTTATAATAAAAGTGTGCCAAGCGTGTAGCGTACATTTTGAAGAATTTTTTGTGTCTCAAGTGAAGGGTATGTATCTAAGTGATTCGGTGGTGCAGTTGTTAAGCTATCGACTTCGGCGCCATGGGTGGCATATTTTTTTGACCTACACACTGGTCCTGATCTGGATGTTCCAAGAAGGGTTGGTATCAGGCAGATGAGTGGTCGTAACGTAACGGGGACGTGAGGTAATTTAATATTTTTTCTATAATTCCTTACCTAACAAACGCTCAAATAAATTAATTTTTGATGGATACCGTTAGTCTAGAAGTGACTTTAGCGAGATGTAAAAGTACATATAATGTATTAGAAGGTGGCAACGCATCTGCAGCCCTACGGATGTTACAAATGCCCATAAATAAATAATAAATAAATATTTAGGACACATTTTTACACATCGTTCTTTAGTCCCAAGCTATGCAACGCTTGTATTATGGGTTCTAGATAACTGATAAACATACTTAAACATATTTTTCTTTTGTAAATACATGTTATACGTATATAAACACCCAGACAGTACCATTCTGTTCATCACACAACATTTTTTTTAGAAGTGGGGATCGAACCCACACCCTCTGGCGCTAGCCACTACGCCATTCGGGTCGTCAAATAGTCCATAGGTGACGGTTATCACTTAATATCAGGAACCACCAGTTAGTTTGCCACCTTCTCACTTCAAAAAAGAAAATATATATATGAAGCAACAATTTAAATGATTCAATAGTCATAACTGATTCCAAGCCATCACAAGCTTCTTTTTAAATAAAATAAAAATTGTCATAAAATATGATTTGTGAGGGATTAACCAGCCTGTTTGCTGACCAATTTCCTGTATGATACGTTATCTCAAGTGATGAGTGAGTGTTGAATGTCATCCCTATCAGTCTAGGGAAACCCAATCAATGACGAAATTACACAAATTTAGCCGTTCAGTGTTTCTTTTATACGTTTACGCAATGATTTCTTAATGCTACGTTCATACTACCAGCAGCCGCCGACTTTGTGTGTTGTTTATTTGCTTTTTAGTTTCGAACTGACAGTCTGATGTAAACTTAGAGGTGAAGCCTTGACAACTTTAAACCTTAGTGCACATAAAGTAAAATTTTTGAATACTTTGTTTTAAAATAACACAGTTAAAATGTTACAATTTATAATAATAAGTAAATGAAATAAAAAGATAAAAGTATTTGAAACTCATATTCGGTGGTTAAAAGTGATTAAAATTATAACAAAATCTTATTCTATTATAAAAGTAAAATTAAAATACTGTATCAGCCTGATTCGTCTGAGGCTTAATAAGCCATTATGGCTGTTAGTAAATACCTCATTCCGTTACTCCTTTTTATATCATTTAATCGTATAAAGAAAAAATCCATAAAAATATTCTTAATTCTTCAGTGTATTTTAAAATCAACGTAGGTAGTTTAAATTTAATGCAAACAGTGTTTGCATTAAATTTTAACTGAACTTATAAAGTGTTGGAGTTAGGATAACTAATGTAAATTTTAGAATACTAAGTAAGAAAAAGTTGATGTACTTCTTTATTGTAAATATAATTGTACTGTATTGTAGAGTATTGTTTAAATTCATAAAATAATAAATTACATTCTAATGCTAATATCACAATCCATTACGCAACGCCTAACTTTGGTGTGTTTTCCATGTCTGGCCGAATACACCAGGCCCTCTTGCTTCTGAAAAGAAAAAAAATATTTAATTTAAAAAGAGTCGGCAGCTTGCGAAGCTTCTTTTGGAAAAGTAAAACCTTTTCTTTTGTAGTGTTCAATTAGAAAATTTCTAATTGAAGTTCCAATTTCAAAACTACAAATGCTCTACGATAGGGCCCTGAATGGGCGGGTGCGTCTGGGTAAGTACCACGACCTCGCAGAAGACCGGCGTGATGTGGAAGTGTCATACTTCTGCGTTTAGTCTTATGAGTGAGGTAGCCGGGGCCATCTTTAGTGAACATCTGCAACCCTACAAGCATCTGCAACCCTACAAGTTTTGTAAATGTCCGTGGGTGGCGGTTATCACGTAAAATCAGGTGAACCGCCAGATTGCGCTTTTTAAGAAGACATTTCGTGTAGCAGCTGTTATGTTAGTTTATGTCGATGATGGTATTCACCGTATAGTTGTAGTAATAATGAATGTAAAAGAAATATATTTTAAAGAAATCAGTCTAACTATCCTGGACTATGGCCTTGGGGCCTCAGTTTTAAATGTTAAAAGTTTTCCATTTACTGGTTTGGTTGCGTTTGTAGACAATAGCATCATTTTACATTTGTGCATAGCGAACAGTGAGACTCACATACTGTAAAGTTTGTAGTACTTGCGGTGAAACGTGGATGGACGTCCCTGAATCTCTGACATGTGTTGGTGGAAGCTTATTTCTATAGAAAATACTTGCTACATAGTCACACATACTGCGAACACATAACCGATTACTTTTTCCTCACCTCTCTCTTTCAAACCAATGCGAACTTGAGTGACTCTTACAGTCCCCAGTTCCCAAATATATGCTATGATAATAAAGTCAATGATCGTCGGGTTCTCAGTCCGTACCACTCCTCGAACTCCCTTATTTGACATTCCCTCTCACTAGATAATGTACGCATGATGACATGCGCAGCTCTACCCAACGCGGAGGGCCTATGAAGCCCGTAGGCTCTGGCTATCCTACGGAGCTTAAAATAGTCTATAGAAGAAAGCAAAAACACCAGTTAAAGTAAAGACCCAGGTACAGACATAGCAAGTACACGTCTAAATCTGGGTCTCTTTCTGGTTATAGACGTATTAAACACAGAGGATTTACTGTTCCAACGGTGCCGCTTGTTTGAAACAAATATGAAGGCAAGGATCGGAACACTCAGCTACCGAGGCTCGATTGAAATTGTCCTTTAGAGTTAGGAAGACTTACGTTAGATATCTGTTCAGAGAATGTCTGCTGCACGAAGACCATACTCTTGGATGGTTGACTGGATCATATCGAGCACCCATGATATGCCGCTGCCCACGGCACTGGTTGTGAGGTGGACCGTCATGGTTAATACCGAGGCTGGAAGAATAAAGAATCTTCTAGAGTCTTAAAAATTGTTGGTAAGCCACCAACTTAGAGACTAACTTAGACTCAAATTCTTGTCTGTCCCATGATACAGCAAATGACATATCTTTTAATGTTGAATGATTAGTAGTTATTTAGAATTATATGACTTATTTCTGTAATACCTATGAGCAATTTCGTGAGCAAGCAGATATCCTATGTTCTTTGGATGCCACTCTAGCAAGGCGCAACTTTTCATAACGCTGCACATACCGCCCATGTATCCGCGGCCTGGAAGAGGAACAGTAAGTGGTGTTATTGATAGAGATATAACGTACAGAAGATGTGAAAGGGAAAAAATAACAATCTCTCTGAAGAAATACATAGATCAAGGAGTTTAAATCTTTACTAATATTATAAAGGCGAAAGTTTGTATGTAGGGATGGATGTTTTTTACTCTTTCATGCCAATACTACTGAATGGATTTTAATGAAACTTTACAATAACATAGCTTTACAATAAAACATAGCTATATATATATTTATATATATATATATCTGTCTTATACTTATATTGATGTATTCCTTGAATGTTATAAAGTCCTTACATGGCCCATTCTACGCTATACAGAGGGTACGTAGGGTCGCTAGAACGTGGTCGCAGCAGCTAGTAATTATAAAAACTATGATTTTAGTTGTCCCTTTTGTCCTTATACTGATATACACTTTAAAGATAAATACTTATTATGCCGGCATATACTATCGAGTATATATAATATAGGCGATCCCGGATATAGCTATCACGGCTCTATCTATATAATATATATTGCATATATATTAATAATATGAATATTTATTATTATTTATAAGTTACGAATATTCACTGCGTTATTATTAAAAAATATTATTGTCTTGAAATAACTGTTTAATTATTCACTAACACCAGCCCATCTAAAATGAGTCTGATATATCCCACCACCCTATAACTTTTCACTACAGAATGTTGATTTGTCCGTTATGATATAATGTAAATTATAGCGTGTGTGATATCCATTTGAACAAAATTGCGTATTATGGTTTAACCCTCAATAAATAGATGAAATATTATTTTCAAGTATCAAGGTAAATTTCGATCCCTAGTAACTTCGAATATTTTGTGTTTTTCCTTTCTTAGAACCATCATTATTTATTGTTTTATTTATGTTTATATGACTGCATAATTTACCTGTACTTCTCCTAACTTCTTCTCCGGACTTGCTGACGTAAAACAGATCGAGGCCCGTCAGCAGTACAGAGTAATACCAGTCGCGGGCTATCTTCTTCTGGCTCTGCCATTCACAGTAACTCTTAAGGTAAACGCTGCCGTTTTCGTCCATACTCACTACTCTCGTTCTGTTCTTGAGGAATTTCGTGTCTTTTAAACGGAACCTTATGTTTTGATTTAAGCTCGGATGACGAAAGAAGCTTTGCACGTCATTCAATATATCGTTTGAGATAATTTTTAGCCTTTTTCTCGTTTTAGATTTGTACTCCTTGACTAGTCTGTTGGTTAACACTTTATCAAAATGTATCATTATGCTTATTGTAATTTCCTTCGGTTGTTGATGGTGCCTTGACAACGTGAGCCGGTGCATGTCCTTCGATAGCTCCTGTAAATAAAACAATTTTACGTATTTATGGTATTCACTTAATCATATGATTCAAGTGATAAGGCCTTTGTTAATTTAACTGTGTTTTAGTTGCAAGTAGTTGAAGTTGTAAAAGTTTAATAATAATACGATAATTACATAACTACTTGGGTCAAATCAGAGTCGTCTCTCACTATGTTTGGTTGAACTAACTGTGCAGTTTACAGAAATATACCACCGACAAGAACGTGTACTAAAATTAACGTGTTATTACTTCGTTTTATTAGTTCTTTGAAGCCGTGCCGTTTATTGTATGCTCTGTACTGGAACTAATTTCAGTTTAAAAGTCATTGCTCTATGAAATCGCAAATTGTATCTCGCATTGTATGCGATCCATTTTTCGCTACGATGTTTGAATTATCTTATCGCTGTAACAGCTCATAACTTTATTCGGCGAATGTTTATTATCAGTTGCATGTATAGACACTTTTTGTGTTATATGTAAATTTCGCCTAATGATCCCGCGGTTACGAAATAGATATCATTTCTGACACTGAATTATGATATCGAACAATTTTTGGAGTCGCTCCTGTGATAATAGCTTAATTCAGATTGATTTACGTGGATGATAATGACTGATACCAAAAAAGATGGTAGGTGGTACTGTGGTAGGGTCATAGAATAGCTTCAGCTGTTGCAGCTATTGCAGGATCATCCGGGGAAGTACCACCGCCTCACCAAAGACCGGCACGAAATGTATTAAACGTTCGCGTTTAGTCTGGTGTGCGTGGTAACCCCTCTTTTTATAGGTCGGCAACACATCTGCAACGCATAGGGGGTGGTAATCACTTAACATCAAGTGAACTGCCTACTAGTTTGATAACTTTTCACATTAAAGAAGGCGGAACTTGCTCTTCCGCTGTTTGCTACTGTAACTTTATGTTTATTGGATAACGGCCTTGCTTCTGTCTCAGGCACTTCGAAAGCTTTGTGGCCATATCTTTCAATCCTCGAAATTGTATTATTTGACTATACGATTGGTGTAGTGAAACTGCCTCTTACGCCAGAGGATGTGAGTTAAATCCCCACTACTGGAAATGCACTGTGTGACGTATACGTACGACATGTATAATATGCATTTATTTACAAAAGAAAAGTATGTTTAGTATATTTAGTATGTTTATCAGTTACCTATTACCCATAATACAAGCGTTGCTTAGTTTGGGACTACAGAACGTTGTGTAAAAGTGTATCCTGAAAAATATTGCATATATATATTCCATAACATAAGAACAAGAAATTAACCAGAGTCGTAAAAACCACACAAGTTACGACTATGAGCCGTCATCTTAACGAAACAAATATATTACTCGAATCCGGCCTCAATTGTTCAAACCGTTCAGAATTGATGAGCACTAACAGATGTATCAGCCGTAATGTATATTCTACATTGTATTTCCCGGCTTTCAAATCACTTCAACTCGAATCAATTATAAAACGAGGTATAAAGTAACTTTATGTTAGAAAAGCTTTTCTATAGCGATATTTAACTGGCTTTTCACAATTGATCACATTTAATCCAACACACAACAAAAGATATTACAGTATTTGTGTAAGTGCGCACCGTATATAAAAAGTTATTCGTAATTTCAATAAAATATAGAAAGTCAATTAATAACGAAGTTGAAATATGCTCTTTTATGTTGTTATTTCAGGTTTTTATTTAGCGTATATGCCGTACAAAATTGATATAAGTCTTACTCTGCAATAGATTAATAGCAAAAATGAAAGAATGATGTTATAATAATATGAAAAATTGACAACTTTTGATTGAATAATCTTTATAGAAAAATAAATAAATGAAAACCACGTGTCACGAGACTTTAAAGTTATTGAGTTTAATTTTAATTGTGACACAAACAGACAGAGTTGATATCCTTCTTCACCGCTTCCATTTTGATAGATTTTTATTTATTGATGAAAATGGGGCATTAATATAAATAAGGGTTCACGTTAACGATTTATTGCATTCGTTTCTAGAAATAACTTTTTCCGTTGTCCGTTATTTCAATTTAAAAATTGTAATATGTTCATTTTCTTAATTTGTTTTTTCATTTCTGTTACGACCATTAATTATGTAGGAAATTGTGATAGATATCTTATTTTTGATTGTTAAAATATCGTGTTTGCAGGCCTTGTAAAATAATTGTGGGCCACGTAACAGCTTTGGCGGTTGCACGAGCGGGCAGGTCCGTCCGGTTCGTGGAAACGTATCTGCCACCCTGCAACCACTACGGGAGTTGCAAATGCCCATAGGCGCAGCTCGCAGCTCGCTTGCTACCATCTTAAATCAAAAATATCAGTTTTTCTTGTATAAATATGTAAATGTTACTTCCGTAATAACTTCCTTTAGCAGTAAAGTGATAAGCATATTTTTATTTCAAGCAATATGTGTGTCCCCAGAAATATTTTGTTACTCTAAACACAAAATCACAGCACATGATATCAATTTTTATTTAAAACACTTTTAGACGAAGGCGTTCAAATAACACTAAAATTGAACCCAACTGAAAATTGCGATACATTATTAAAAAAAGCACCAACAGAAAACAAGCCGGCGTCTTTTATAATCCTATCAAATATATCACAATCACTTTTTTTGAGAAGGTCAAGAGAAAATCCTTTTCAATTTTGCCATAACGCTTATATCGTAAAGAAATAAACTCACAAAGTCACTAGCGATCCTTCCATCTCCGATGCCGAAATAACAGAGTAGGCAAAGGAATAAATACTTCATGGCGCGCGTGCCTGCCGGCACAGTGCTTGCACCAAACTAACCAAAACTTAAGCATAAGACCTCAGACACACTAGCAGCGATATCAATATAAAAGTCGTTTAACATAGCAAAAATAACTACTAACGCTATATCCACAATAGTAAATAATGATATATTTAAAAGCTTAGCTGAATCTTGTTTAGAGCAGTTAAGCTCAACAGCTTCTGCTCTTTCGAGGATAAGCTAAGCGTTCTAAATTCTGAATTCCCACGAGTGTTGTTTTAAGGGTGGTCATAATCTCTGATCATTGTTAAAATGTCGGTTCATTTGCCGTCCTGTCTCTTATTATATGTGGTATGTTGACGATTATAAAAGCCACGTTGTGAAATTCATGTTTGACCGTAGTTATTTCGCATGTATAGTCATATATATTTTTATGTATTCATATATATGCATGTATATTCATATATATTACCTTTGAGGCGGCTCTACATTTGAATTTAATATAATAATAAATTTAAACAAATGGGAATAGGATTTTATTTGGAATCAAAATCAGAAAGGCGTCGATCTGATTCGCTAACGTATTGACATAACACTTCAAAGCAATCATGTACAAGTATTATACTAGATACACAATTATTGAAATCAAATGATCACTTCTTTAGTCAATTTCAAATGGAATCTATCAATGTTATCGATCTATCAATTTCAAACACAATGCCAGTATGAGTGACTCCATTAGTCTGAGAAATTACTTTCGATTGCGTGTATATAAAATTTCGTCTATAATAATAGCTATTGTTTCTTTTAGATTTTTTGCGTATACTCGAGATTGTTGAATGAAGCATTCATCTCCTCTATTACATGTCTTAAAATAAAATACATGAATGATGATATTCATCGTTTGATGGTCTTCTCTTAATCGACTTTTCCACGAATAAAACTGCTGTTATTACTTGATGACATCATTTTCGCGGTAACTGTTGTCATGTCTTACTCTGTCTGGGAAATAGGCGTATTAATGTCAATTTTTGAACAAGGTAAAGTGTATTTTATTCTAGAAACTAATAAGTGCTAAAGTCCTAGAACCTGTCACCTTTGGGTGAGACAGTTCCAGCTTACATTTGTGAGTAGGTAAACGAATAATGTTTTACTAGACACAATTAATAGTTTATTTTAATAAATAATAAACTCTCTTTATAATTTTGAAAGAACTGCAGCCAATCAAAAAAAGTAATTGTTTGACGCTTTGATCTGGTTACACCTTTATCTTAGGCCGACGTCATTTGCTTACTTCATATAGCTTCAGAATAGGTGCTACTTAAATAACGGATCGTTTAAGTGTTTGTAGGCATATCTGTTTATATTTATAGCCTTTAGATCTAACCGTACTCTGGTATTTGTCTAATAGCGCGGGTACCTTACTTTTTGGTTAACGTAACATAAAAGTTCGGATATATGACTATTAGTTGAATTTAGCATTTCGAACAAGTGATGAAACACAAAAATTGTACATAAAGACGTTTAAAAATCCAAAAACAAATCAATTGAAATAAGACGTTGGTAAATCATTCGTGATGCCATTTCTATTCCATTTCATTTCTTTTTGGTCTATTCTAATTGTTATAATGATTGACCCGAATGGCGTAGTGGGTAGTGTACCTACCTTCTGCGCCAGAGGGTGTGGGTTCGATCCCCATTACTAGAAAAATCTTGTGTGATGAACATAGTGTTTTTCTTGTGTCTGGGTGTTTATATATCTATAATATGTATTTATTTACAAAAGAAATCTATGTTTATGAGTTATGTATGTTTATCAGTTATCTAGTACCCATAGTACAAGCTTTGCTTAGTTTGGGACTAGAGAACGTTGTGTAAAAATTTGTCCTAAATATTTATTTATTATTTATTTCTTTTTCCAATTTTTCTATTTCTTTTCGCTAACTTATTTAGTGATAATGTTGACGTAAAGTTAGTGAATCAACTAAAAAGTGGTACAAATAATTTTTCTCACTTAAACGAAACTTTCATTAATTTATCAATTTGATTAGTACATTTTAAAAACAATTTCATTATGTATAACTGTAAAATTGTTTGTAACATATCTAAAATGCATGTTATGATAATCTGTAGATTGGAAATAAACGGGCTTTATTATTTATCATTATTATTAAACGAAACTGTATTAAATATTCATAATATGATCGAGGACAATTTTGATCTTTTTTTGTATTTATGCGATTACACATTATAACTGAAACTTATTTTACGGATTTATCGCGTTTATTTTTAATTTTAATTCCCGAAGTTTCGAACCCTTTACAGCGTTCATGGTCACGGGACAGACTGAGGCGTTTGACGTCCGATTGTTGTAGTAAACCTGGGCTACCGTCAGTTTTTGAATTATTAATTTTGTGTCCGATCTATGCAGAGGGAAGCTGACTGGATGAATTGTCTATGGCAGAATCTTAACCGGAAACGCGATAAAACCGTAAAATTGGTTTCATTTATAATTTTGATCTTGTTCAGCGTGCGTTCAGAACTAGAAGATATGTGTTAGCTATTAATATGTGTTAGCAGCTTCAAATAAAACCAAACGTTTCGTTGGTAACATTTCCGCCCTTAATTAGATTTCGACTCCTTTATCCTTTAGTATTTCCTTACTTTAGGTTTTCCATCAATACGCTAATAAAAAGTTTATTTATGGGATACACTATTGACGGTTGATTTGTGTAATTATAATAAAATTTGATTTATATGAATAGTTGTAAAGGGGATGTCTATTGCTTTGAGTCAGAATTTTATATTATAGAATGCAGAAAATTCTAGGCGGTTCTAACATCAAATTTTAGTTCCCTAAATTACGCGGTGATCTAGCAATTGAACCTGATCAACGTTATTAGATCCATGCTATTCAATAATTCAAGCTGTCGTTTTAAAATTAGAACAGTTTAGTCCACGTCTATGTATGCTTTGCCCTTAAAACGCTTTAATTGATGTAATTGTGAATCTGATATGATTCGTGAAGTGTCTTCAATTTTATTGTTACTTTTAGACGCAGTTAATTGAAAATATTTTTTGGATAAGGGTTAAAAGCCAGCACGCTTATTCAATAGACTATAAAGACGGTGCGAAATTTGTAACGAAGTTCTACCAGACCTTTAGCGACACGTTAACAATAGGGAGAGAGAAAGAGTTAAATTTGTACTGCCACATATTACTGAATAAAGTCTCAAAAAAGGTCATCGGAACGTTAGATCGAAGTCATTACATAAGTGACCTAAATAAACAGTTGGAAAAGAAATCAGTTATTAAATCGAGGTACTCGTAAGAAACACACTCTCACGTCTTTTAACTCTGTGTAGACAGCGCTAATTAACTTTATGTTCTCTTTGCCGAGTTTGTTTTGAGTCAAACATGTTGGTAAAAAATTGATTTACCCGTGGTATAGGTTGCATGTTTAATAGTGACAAATAAAGATAGTAAGGCGAATAAAAGAGACAGTAGAAGAAGGTCCTATTGGTCCTAAGGCAAAAGTCGAATAATAGGACCTTCACTTTTTCCACTTTTTTGTAATTACTTAATCAACAGTTTTGCAAGTAAGCAAAACAATTTTCCTAAACATGCGAAATCAAAATTTAATATCGCTAAGCAGGGACCGTTCATATTTTACAGTCAACTTTTTATTTGTGATCTGCTGTCTTTGTTTGACCGTGTCCGTACATAAATGCGGTCTTACTAGCATTACACATAAACCGTTCAAGGTTGCGTGATAATTTTTGGTCTCTCTTTAGAACTGATAGACTTTGACTGCATTCGGGTTAATTGTCTTTTTTAGATAGACTTGAATTGATAGTGACTTGTTTTGAGCGTGCAAATTATATTAACGTTGGTGACTTTATACTGGTTTTTATTTATCACTAGCTGTGCCCACGACTTCGTCCGCGTCGAATTTTATGTAAAAAAAAATATTACATCAGCTATCTGCCAGTGAAAGTCCCGTCCTAATCGGTCCAGCCGTTTCGGAGATTAACCGGAACAAACAGACAGACCGACAGACAAAAATTAAAAAAAAATGTTATTTTGGTATATGTAGCGTGTATACATCCATATGTATTTAGTAAAAAGCGGTTATTTTAATATTAGAAAAAGACACTCCAATTTCATTTATTTGTATAGATGAATGACTGAATGGATAAATCATAATCTGGATATAAATTCGCTATGTTATAGAAATCTGAATGATCTAGATAATTGTAAAACGTTTTTTTTTATTTACGAAGGTGGTTAGGGCGTCGCCGATGGATATTTGCAACATGCGTAGGGTTGCAGATGCATTGTCACCTTTTAATAAAGTAGGCCCCGGCTACCTCACTCATCAGACGAAATACAGAAGTATCTTCTATGAGGTCGTAGTACTTCCCCCTGATAGCCCTGCCCATTAGTGTAATAGCGACTCGTGTGTGGTCCTACCACAGCTGTGAATAAAACGCCTCATGTCGTTTTCTTTTATTTCCTCCCTTCAGTCTGAACGGTCGCATAGGCTTACCGAATCAAACAGGTAAATGACACGTATTTCGCATTTGCGTGTCATTGTCGTATATTGACATTAAACCCCGTTGCACGGTAACTGTCAAAATTGTCACCATTTTCAGGCTTACCTTTCTTCTTTAAAGAAATACAAAACATCGTAACGGTAACTGGGATTTCGTGACGTAGACCGTCTAGCTATTAGTTACTTCGAATGCTCATTACCAACGAGCACAAGCGAATTTTTCCTGATTATCATATTAGCAATTAAAATACTTCTCACATGATAACCGTAAAATTCAAGTAAATGTCGTATAGGCTATAAAACCCACCGCCGGGCAAAGCATTCATCCGTGCAGAGGGTATTAGGCGATAGTCCACCACGCCATTCAACTGCGGATTGGCAGACTTCTAAATATTTATATCTTCGAAATATTTTTCCCCGTTTCATCACGATGTTTCCCTTCACCGCTGAGCACGTGATAATT